ATATTAAGGCCATTAAACAACAATTTGATAGTCTTAATAGTGTCATTAAAATTGTACTTGACAATTTTTTGTTGAAACTTTCAATAAATCCAGCAACAATGCATACTATATTGTCACGACACAAAACATATTGTAGATTTATTAGGAGCATAAAATGAAACAGCAATAACAATACTAAACACAATAATTTATTAATTAGTAAAAAGAATTGTGAACCAAGGTATAGGATTATTTTTCAAAAAAAAAAAAGAAACGATCTCAATATAGGATTGTAGTTAATTAAAAGAATATGAAAAGACCAAACATGTGAAAGTGATTCATCAAAAGTGTTATGTTGTATATACTAATGAAATAAAAAATAAAATAAAAAATAAAATTAATCAACTTCACTATGCATAAAAGAAGCAACAAAATGCTTAAGCAAATATGAATCTTGCACCAAATTGCTAGCTACCTAAATCTTTAGTATCATTGAATCTCTTGCTTGCTCTTTATAAAGAAACTATGGGTTTAAAGAGATTTTATTTTTATTTTTTTTTTCATTGGGTTACTTTTCTTCTAATTCTACCCTATTATTTTGAGATATACAATTGTTTTGATTATTTTGGGGAATCTATTGCTTGTATTTTTTTATACACCTTTTTCTAAGAGAACTCAATGATGAAATTTTTTGTTAAATTAAGATTCTTAATTTACTCCAATTGTTAATGTATTTATCTTTAAACTAAAATTCAATAATTTTAATTTAATGAAGAAATAAAGTTATAAGGAAAATTTTTTTAATTTTTAAAGATAAAATATTGATTTATATCAATTTCATTAGAAAAAAAAAGGAAAAAGTTTACATGGTGCCTAGGCTCGAAATAATCAAATTAGAGCCTACATAAAAAATTTCACTGAAAGATGTTGTTTTGATGCTCAAATATCTTCAAATTGACCATCTTAACAGTAAGATGCATAGACTTGAGAAAAAAAAAAAAAAAATTTCAAGTTTTGGAAATAATGCATCTTGTAACGTATTTTTGGATCGTCATTTTTTAAGTTATTCAAGTTTTCATAGAGCTGTTCTATCTACACCATTTTTTAAGCTTTTAAATTTTATAATTAAAGATGAAAATATATTTTAAGGCTATTCAAAGATTTCCAATATTGAAACCACATATCTCGACACTATTTGATGGTGGGTTTTAATTTGATTGTTTAGAGCTTCAGATGTATACAAACCGTGAAAAATGCTAATAGATTTTAAAAAGCGAGAGAATTTTTAATAATTGTGTTTTCAATAGAAATTCTTATTTTTATTTTTTTTATGAGAAATTAAGCCTACAGCGTTCATGCTCTTTTAATCAAAGATTTGCTAACTATGCTTTGGATGAATTTTGTAGATCTTAAAATTCTACCTTCTTTTTACCACCGTAGTGTTCAAAGTTCAAACCATTTTCAAAAAAAAAAATTTCCCCAAAATGCTTTTCCAGAAAATCAAAAATGGGAATTTTCTGGATTCTCCTAAAAAATATCTGCGTTATTCGAACCGACCCTAGTCTCGAATTTATAAATGGCTCATCTCTGCACTGAGCTTCAATGCTAATAAGCATTTCGCGTTGCCTTCTACCTTCAAGATATTTACCGCCTATACGCAAGGTCTTTTTTCTTTGGCCATGGCTTTATCTGTTTTTTTCTTGATAGGTGATTAATGGTGTTTAATTCTTCAGTTTGTACTGCGCTTTTTACATCTCTCTATCGATTCCCTGCGATTATGTTGCGGTTTCTGCGTCTTTTAATGCCATGGGTTATGCGACATTATGCAATTAATCTGTTTAGGGTTTCGGGAGGTACTATTTTATCTCGATGAAGGGACATGGTTAGTTTTTTAGGTTTCGGGGGGGGATTATGCAGGTTATGGCCTTATTGGTTCTTAGAGAGTCTAGATTCAGAATCTGGTCTTGGATTCCTGCACGGGGAAACTGATCTACGATCTAATGTTACCTGTCTACAGTGGTTAGTTTAACTCAAGTTATGATGTTTCTTTATCCCTGAAATTTCCTATAATATTTAGAAAGTTCTATGTTATTAGTTATTGTGGATAGGAAAATTGATTAAATCTGTTTTCGTTTGCGTTATTTTTTTGTTAAGGATTGTTGTATTTGATCTGTTATTGACAATTGAAGGAATGGATTGCTGATGGTTTAAGATTATTGAAGTTTTTGTTCTTAATTTGTTATTGAGTTTGCTGTTTTCTCTCGTCATTTTAGGGCTTCAATGCTCTTTGTGGTAGTAGATTTGGGGTTCCTTTGCTGTATCTGTTTTCTGTAGGGTTTTCTTTACATGGATTATTTCTTATTTGCAAATCTCTAGGAAGTTTGGAAGCCATTCAGTCGCTTGAAACAACAAAAGATATTATTACATTTTATTTCCCCTTCACGGAGTGGTATGTTTTTATTGGATAAATGGTCCTATCAGGTGATTTGACTGTTTCTGGATTCTTGATTTTGGTTTTTGGTTTGTTCATTTTCAAGATTCAAGAAATGCTGAAGCATATCCACTTACTTCTGGAGCTAATAGTGTACTTGTAGAATCTTTTAGTATCGCACCCATGGGTTAAAAGTCTTGGCATACTCTGCACAAGCCTTGCTGCATTCATCATAAGCTTCGTTGAGGAGTTCCAAGGAAGCAGGCATGGCCTTGCTTGGTTTCACATTCATAACCAGATCAGAGCTCCTCTTTTCTCTAAATGGAGCAACTTGCCACCTCATAAACCTACTATGATGGCATGTAAAACTGCACCGCTTGATGTGTGTGCAACCATATTGGAAAAAAACCTGAAACCCATTCAAGTGTTTCATTTTTGAGACAGTTCTCATGCTTGTTTTCCCTGAAATTCCCTTCAGTTTTACCATCTATCTCCCACACAAGTGTTTCATTCTCATGCTTGTTTTCCCTGAAATTCCCCTAGTTTTACCATCGATCTACCATTTTCTGTGGGCGAAATCACCCACAGAACTGCACCAGACAGTTGTGGGTTTTTTTGATGGGTTAGATAGAGAGAGAAGACAGAAAGGTTTTTTTTGGGTGAGTAAGAAGACACAGAGGTTGGAGTGGGCATCTGACAAGTTAGAGAGAGAGAGAGAGAAGGGAGCGAGGACAAAGCTTCTGTGTAGACAGATAGGAGAAGGCTTGGAGAGAGTAAGAGAAGTTAAAAGAAATCCTGTGAGATTGCACGCACATTAGCGTTTCTGCGTCACGTAAAATTCAAGTTGAACTTATTTTTTCAAAGATTGTGATATAAGGGCCTTATCCAAAACTCTTATTACGCTGTTTGGAGCTATCAAACATGCTTTTTAGCATATTGAATTATAAAAAATTGGAATCACATAATATCTTGAAATATCCAGATATTTAGGGGTTATCAAACATAGCCTAAAATGTAAAGTTTTATTGGACGAATGAAATAAAAGAGTTCACATTCAAAGATCAAAATTCAGTGGAACTCTCTCGTGTATTAACTTATTCTAGAAGGCCTATCCTATGTATTTTAGATAGTTCCACGTCAAGGGGTAACAAAATTGACTCCCATCTTACTACTTTATGCCTAGATATAAGCAGTACCATCCTCTCAAAACTCATGCTTCAATGTGAAAAAAAAGGAATCCTTCTAAAACAAGAAAAATTATGTATTTTAGTAAATAGAGGGCAGCGAGGGGGAAAAATGGTTATATCATATAAGCATTACCATCCCCTCAAAACTCATGCTGCAATGTGAAAAAAAAAGGAATCCTTCTAAAACAATAAAAGTTAATTTTTTTAGTAAATAGAGGGCAGCGAGGGGAAAAAATGGTTATATCTTTTTGGGGGGGCAGCACTAGTTGTTTGTCCTCCCATAGGAAGCATCAAAAGCTTTCCATATATGTCAATATAGATCTATTGTATTTCATAAATTAATGTGTCATAAGTTTTTCCTCTTTGTTTTCTTCCGTATGCTCACTTATCATCATCCATTTCTATTCACTACATCAATCTCTTGTAGTTTTATATATCTTCCTAATCCTCCTTTTTTTTTTTGGGTTCTTGAGTTGTTTTATGTCAAGCTTTTCTTGAAATATGTTAGATGTATGATTTTGACTTGCCAGAGGCACTATAGAATTAATGCAGAGTGCAAATTTGGTTTGTATCTATTATTTGTATGGCATTATTTATTTTTTGCGTCATCAAGTTAAGGAGCTAGATGGATAAGTGCAATGGCCTGTTCACATGAAGATTTACAATCTTGAGGTGATTTATTTTGCCATCTAGTAGTATTGCATCAGCAGTCCTCCTGAGTCCCATTTTTTTAATTTATTGAGTCTTTAAGAAGAGTAATGGAATCTTTCTTAGTGTCACTTTATACTGAGATAGGCTGGTCTTCCGATAGGCTCATATTGGTGACAGTATTGTTCAATGCCAATTCTCTGTCTTCTTTTCTTATATTCACTTCTTTGGTTATATCGCCGACCTCTCTGTGTATCCATAGTGGTTGCATGCACGTGATGCATTTAAACTTTAGTTCTGGTAGAACGCACTTGTTGGGGCCATGCTTGTTGTTACAAGATCTTCTATTTGGTCTTCTGTGCAATTGATTTTGTTCAATGTCGTACTGTTGGTCTCCCGAATCATATGATATCCTTAAATCACCATGATTAATCCACTGATAAATCAGTAGAACAACTTCTTTTCAAACTCAAACCGGAATTAACAAATCTGCAGATTGCTTTGCGGTATTTTTCCGTCTTTGTTCTTTAGAGTTAAGTGATTTCTCATGCTTAAAATTGGAATATTATTCAAAGGTCACATTATCACACAAGTCATTTTTTTGTGTTCTATTTGGCATGCCTTTGGACTTTTCCTGTATTTTTGGTGTATGTGTTCTTTCTGTTATTTGGATGAAGTCATTTAAACTTCATTTTCATTTGCTTCTTGCGAAAAACATTCATAAATTGACAAAGGGATTTCTTTGGATGGATTAGGGTCAATTGCAGGGCTCTGGTTGGAACCTTGAATTTGAAGGTTAAACGAAGGTTACCCAACAAAGAAAAATTGTGACCTTTCCTGTGATGCTGCATATGTTTGGTAATTTTGGATCTTAGTAATTTGTTTGGCTTCTCATGTATTCATGTGCACTGTTCATATTACACGTTTGACCTTCGTCCTGATAGAGCTTTTGTAATCCTATCTATTATCTGTATCTCGTCTCTTTTAATACTTGGAATGGTGGATTCGTGTTATTTACCTATGTCTTAATGGAAACTGCTAATGCCTAGTGGCACCCTTGAAAATGCAATTGGTGACAATACTGAAACAAACTTCTAATGTGGTGGGAGCCTTCAATTGGTCACTTTCAGTATCAGAATGTTGGTCCAATTCGTTGCCATTATGTCATAAATTTGGTGCAGTTCCTTTTGTGCATGGTTCTTTGATACTACGAACATGAAGAGAACACCAACTGCACTCGTGAAAAAAATAGATTGAAAAGGAAAAAAATAAAAAGAAGACACTATAAATCAAGACCATATTTCTTATTAATGTCCCTGGAATGACTGCTTCAAATAGACACTAGAATATGTATAACTTGAACGTTTTCATTATGTTAATGAGTTGTTTTTTATATGGGCATGCAGGACCTCACCTTGTTGAGTAGCAGTGCAGCTGATTTTGAAACTTTTGTTTCATGAAATAATGTATCAAATTCTATGGTGAAAATGGAGGATTGGGGTCAGTTTTTGTATCCTTGCTTTCCCTGTGAAATGAATATAATCTTCAGTTAATATTTAGTATTTAAACTGAATGGATACATTGAATGCTTCAATAGTATAGCGCACTGACCATGGTATTGCTGGACCAAACCACGTGAAGTTATGAATATTTATTGCCATGGGATGTGTAGGATTATGTGCATGCTTGCTGCTAGATGTCAATATTGTGTTTGAAGGCTTATCATCTTAAATATGGGAGTTTAAAATGAAATAGCCAGTCTTTTGGAAGAAGATGAAACATAAAACTAGGAAATGCGTGAATCTTTTCTCCGAAATATAGATACCTTAGGATATATTCCCTTCGTATAATTCCTTGGTGGCATGCAATGAGAAATGGAGCATCAACATATGAACTTATGCAAATATGGGGCTCACTGGTTCTATGTTGATGTGTTCTTTGTTGAGATGGGAGATGGAAACTTTATTCTTCCTTGTTGCTTATCCAAATCAGTACCCATTCTCATTCAGGATAGGGCTGATTTGGAAATGTAAGGGCTCTATCTATCAACTTTAGAGCAGTATTTCTTAAGTTTCTAGAACTGGTAACATCTCTGTGAATTTCCAGGGGTTGTTGTACCTTTTAAAATTGACAAGCCTCTACCATTTATTGGTCTTTTTTTTTTAAATTGAGATACTTAGCTGTAGGGATCTTCATGGATAAAAAGGACCACAAACTAGGCTTTCATATAGCTATGAGCAACTCCTGCATGCATCCGATTCCAAGTTAGCTAACTCATCTGCCACTGTAATTGCCTTCTGAAAAATGTGTTTAATAAGTAGTTACTGAGAACTGGTCTTCGTCCTGTTAGTTCTTTAAAAACTACTGATGGCTTTCGAAATTTTCTAGATCGGTGGCAGTATGACACTTTATGAATCTGATGGCTCATCTGTAGACTGTAGTTACCCCTATCTTGCCACTGTTTTATTGGTTTTTAAATGCTGGAAAAAGGTTCTTCTTGTTTTTTAATAGAAACTTCATTGAAAGGGATGTCCAATGCGATAACATATAATAATCCCTTTGCCGGAGCCCTATATGCCCACATTAGTTAGGCAATTCGTTATTGCATTTCCAGTCATGATGCTAAATATTCAGTAAATGCATATTGAGAATGAAACTATAGTTCTATAAAATAAATCCCTTTTGTCCATGTGATCTTGGGATTCTCGTCTAAGCCAACAAATCAAAGCTAGCTAATCACTTTAGATAATGGCAATCCTCAAAGTTCTATTTAGATTTCTCAATCCATCCAAGACTGTGTTTCTTCAGCCAAAGAGCCCTCAATACCAATACTTGTGCGTGGAACTTTTGCTTATTGGGCTCTAGATTCTTTAGCTTCAAACATTCTAGCTTTGCATCCCAGCCATTGACTCCAAATAATTGCTAGTACAGCTTCCCACAAAAGGAAAACAAAGGAGGATTGAAAATTTGAAATACCACTCAAACAGGTGCTGAATCATTTGAGGGAGTACCCCATAGTTTTAAAAAGTAGATCACCCAGCGCCTAGGCGGTCCAGAAGGCCTGGGCGCATCGCCCAGGCCTTGGCGGCCAAACTAGGCGGATATCCCTAGGCACCCCGCTTAGGCGCCCGCTCGGGCGGCCGTCCAGGGCCTGGGCCTTGCCCAAGGGCAGAAATGCGGCTGCTTGAGGGTATTTTGGGTCATTTTTTTAATACTAAACAGACAAAAATATGGGTTTTAGCGTCATTTGAAACTTAAAACCCATTAGAGGTTATTTTAGAGAGAGAACTCAAAAAAAAAAAATAACATTCTACTAGGCCACCCAGGTTCTGGGTGCCCGCTTAGGCGCTGGGCGGCCTAGACCCCCCCGACCGCCTAGGTGCCACCTAACGCTTTTTGAAACACTGGAGTACCCAATGCCAATTGAATCCATCGAAAGCACAAATCCTTGTTGAGAAAGGGTAGTGAAGAAAACAAATGGTTGCTAGGTTTCTTGTCTGATTGCTATTGCAGGTCTTGCCTGATTGGCTGCAGTAAATAATCTCTTGTTGTTTACCTCAAAAAATAATAATTTCTTGTTGTATCTCATAATGACAATACTGGAGCATGTTTGGTACGCGTAAAAATATTTTCACATGAAAGAATTGCCCCATATGATTAGGTGTGGGAGTTTTTTCACACCAACTAGCAGCCAATTGGTGTGAAAGAAATGCGCTGGGACCTATTGGTGCGAAAAAATTCTCACACTTAATTACATGGGGGAGTTTTTTTTTATGTGAAACTACTTTTGCAAAAATATTTTCACACATACCAAATGGCATTTGATTACTAAGGGATCCTCAATAACTGAGTCTTTAACTTTGAGCTGAAGGATCACATTCTCTTTCCTACAACAATTTGCTACTATGTAGCATCAAAAAAGAAAAAATTAGCATTAAAAAAAGCAAGTTGCTATTTTGTGAAAGAAGCCAGAATTTCTATTACCTTCCTTGAGCCATTTGATCCTAGATCTCTAAAACCAATGGGTTTCTTCTTGTTTCAAAATTCTATCGAACTCCATCAAGCAACCTGAAGGACTCTAAAGCTCTTTTAGTGGCTGAGAGTTATCTATTCTAAGAACGTTGAGGTGATTGATTTGATTGTGATTTAGATTCTTTCCTCACCTGGAAGTTATCAGGCTGGATTTGTACCATGGCTTTATATTAAATTTCAATAGCTGAAGCTTCCTGCTTAGTAAATCTGTACCCAACCCAACTTACGACCTGGAGTGAGGACCACCAAATTGGAATTAAGACGAACATCCGGGTATTCCCATTAGGATAGTTCTGATCTTTAAGGCTTTCAACCACCATATTCACTTTTTGAAAGGAGAATTATTGAAAGCAGATGTCTAAGCATGATCCATGGTTGACGTCATGCTTCAAAAGATTCCCTAAAAGTTATTGCGTCATTTGGGGAAAATTTACGTCCAGCCCTCTACAATAGCTATCCCTTGAAAAAAAACTTAAACTGTTGAAGCAAACACATGACCCTGAATTTCCCACCTTCACGTCAAGAAACCCCCCACGGGCTTTTATTTTTTATTTCATCCCGAAATACACTTACACAAGGAAACTATATTAAAAAAGAAGAATAAAAGTACAGAGATCTTTCTCACTCTAGCCTCTTTACCCATCTCTCTTTCCTCTTTTGCCATCTTCCTCTCCACCACCTTTTTCACTTCCCATCTCTCTCTTTGAAGGGAAATTTAGCAAGAGGACCTTGCAGGTGAGAAGGCCCTTCGCATGAGGTCGTGAATCTTGACATTAGAGTTCTACCTTTTTTCTTTGTCTTTGCATGGTTTTGCTAGATAGAGAGTTGATATGAGATTATGAAGTGTTCGATTTATAGAGATGGAATTGGCTGTTTTTAGAGGTTCAAGATTAAAAAATGGTTAATGAGAGATATGGGAAAGAGAACTATGCAGTCTTCGTTGAATGGTTTTGCTAGATAGAGAGTTGATGTGAGATTACTAAGTGTTCGAATTAGGGGAATGGAGATGGAAGGGGCTGTTTTTAGAGGTTCAATATGTTAACATGGTTGATGATGATAGATATGAGAACGAGAACTATGCATCTCCATTTGTACAACAGAAACATTTGTACAATATATTTCGATAATAGCAGTCCATGTCAAAGCATTTCTTTCAAGTAGTTCATTGAATAGCTTAAATGCCTCTTCAATTGTACAACATTTATACTAGACTTTCAATTATTGGCTTTGTAGGAAAGCATTAAGTTCTATTCCAATGGGAATTATATGAGCATTTAATTGCATCAAGTCTGTCCAATAGCTTAAGTGCCTCTTCAATTGGACAAAATTTATAGTTCAATTGCACTATTGGATTCTTAACAAAGTATCAAGTTATATTCTAGTTATGATTATGCAAGCATGTACTTGCATCCTCCTATTAAAGCATTGAATCTTTGAGAATTTGGGATCGCCGAAATGAAAAACTCATGGAATTCATCGAAACTTCTCAAATATATAGATTGGACCATGGACAAAGCATCCATCAAAGCCACATGTTCACCCTTGTAAGTGGCAAATTGTCAATCTCATTTGAATTACAACTAGATCCACCTTTTTGTTTTGGTGGAATTATAACTAATTCCATGCTCATAGCCTCATACGTTTCCTTTTCTAGTCAAGGTTGGGCGGGGTTCAGGTTACAGAAAAAGCTTCAACTGCTGATCAAGTGATCCTTCGAAAAGATATCTTGTGGTACCAAAGGTATAGAATCACCGAAACACCAAATTCTTCCACATGACAACAAACCACAAATAGAGGGAGAATGCGATAATTTAGACAATACTTAGCAGCTGTACATATAGGTGGTTGGGAGTGGAAGCAATTCGAAAGAACCATTGTCGAATTCTTCAAAAAACTCTTATCGTGAATGACTTCTCATTCCTTCATTTACTCAGGATAGGTCTCAAAGGTTAGTAATACCGTTTTATAAAGATGAAATCTTTAAAGTGATTAACGCCCCAGGCCAAGACAAAGCACCCGACCCTGATGGTTTCTTGGTGGTCATTTTCAACAAAGTTTTGGAAACCATGAGACCTGATATCCTAGCCTTTATTCGACCGAGTTCTTTGAGAGAGGGAGAGTCCAAAGGGCCATGAAATGCTACCTTCATTGCTTTAGTCCCTAAAGTTGAGGGTGTTGAGGACTTGAAAGACTTCGGACCCCCAAGTCTACTGAATAACTCATACAAGTTTTTCGCCTCTCTGCTGAAAGAGGTCCTTAAATTAGGTGATCTTACCAAATCGAGGAGCATTTGTGAAAGGTAAGTAGATCCTGGTGTGCACCCCCGGTGCGCTTGTTTGCTTGATTTGTTTCGAACTTAAAATGTAATGCACAAACGAGAAAAAGTACAAGCGAAGAACAAACAACTAAAATTTAATTAATGTAGCAGAAATGTACTTACAGAAGTGGTGGGGTTTGTCAATCTCTTGAATTGGAATATGGCCGATCCTCTTAGAGCTTCCATTTTATATGTGCTTTTGGGGAACACCCTCTTGACAATTTGACTTGTCGACACTGTGATGTGGGATTCGATGCCAAGGTTTCTTGTGGGGAATGTGGGCCTGCCTTACTGGATTTAGGCAAGAAAAGACAACACACTTCAACACCAGTGTCGGTTGCTCGAGATGTATTCTTGTAGCCTAGATCTTGTTCAGTTGCCTCAATCTCCCTCCTAGGTGTTCGGGGATTTGGGTTTTTATATGGATATTTTGGGTAAAAATAATTTTTTGGATTTTTGGATAATTTTGTGTTTTTTGCTATTTTTGGGTGATCTATTTTTGGAGCGTATTTTGGGGATTTGGAATTTTGGTGAGGGGTAGTTTATAGGGTTTTATTTCTCATTCTAAACTGTTGGCTTCTGCAGGTCCTCTCTTTCTAAGCTTCCTAATCGAAGTTTCTAACCATTAGTAAATGAAGGTTGATGGGTTTATATAGAAGGTTTAGGAAGCATGGGTGGAAAATCAACAATGTAGCTCATAGGTGGGTGTATTATCAAAAGTTGGCTTGAGTTTTCCAAATTGACCATATGGAGTGGTCCAGAGTTGGGAAATATCATGAATTTGTCTTTAATTCATCCAATCCCCACATGTTTGATCAAATTTGGTCCATAATTTTGTAGAGCAAGTTGCTATGTTCGTTTTGCAACCAATTTGGATAAAAACTTCTAGTATTAAAGGAGTTATGAATAAATTTGTGGGTTTAGCATCAAACTTGTCACCACAAAACTTTGAAGAATCATTCTTGAAGTATTGGAGAAGAAATTTGGATAAAAAACTCCAAGAATGAAAGGAGTTCCAATCATTTTATTGGCCATTTTGTAGAATTTAGTAGTCTTCAGTTTTCGGGCAACTTCTCTCTATGATCCGGCCCCCAATTTGATTTTAAACCCAATAACAAATTATATGAATGTTTTTTTTTAAAAAAAAAATCATATGAATGTTTAAAGGGTTGAGTGAAGACTCTAAAAGGGCAAGGGGAAGGTCCAACAGGCATGGATGGAAGTAGCGAAAAGAGATACGGTGACTTACAGTTTGATTGAGGGTATGGCCCTTGATAGAGTGGAGTGGTGGAATAGGATTTGCGTAGTTGACCCCAAATAGTTGGGACAACACCATGTTTTTTGAATGATCTAAAAGATGGGTCATTTCTCAAGGGCCAACTACTCCTGTTGTATATTTTAGTGTAAGTAAACAAATAATTCTATCAACTTTTCCACACTCACACACACACACATACACAAAAGAAAGATTCGCTTGTAAAAGTATTATTTTTATAAAAGAAAGGGTGTTCTTGTCTGAAACTGTCCTCCTAAAGCATTATTCGGGGGTCTTTTTTTCTGGAAAGCACAATTTTGGGCATTTGCTGGTTGTTTGTAGGAAGAATTCTAGCTTGGGACCCAATGTATCAACCGTTTACAAATTGAGGGCATGGGGTTCTTGGCATATACTTGATCTAGAGAGAAATCCCTAACTTACCTTGGCATGGTGACCTCTCCTACGAACCCCGGCTAAAGATGGTTTTCTCCTTTTCTCCTATTGCCTTCTTGATTCATCATGCACCCCTCGATGGCCTTTCCTGTTTCCTTCTTTTGCTTGCATCCTCTTCCCTTGTACAATGTGCATGGCCCATTTTGTAACATCCAAAGTCTATGCCGATGTTGAATCTTGTGTTCAGCATCAATCTGATGCAGCCTTCCTCCGTACAGCTCAACATCAATCTTCTGTTTAACTGTTTAGACTTTATGCCCCAACCCATTCTGCAAATCGAAAGCCTATGGCGATGTTGAATCTTTTGTTCAGCATCAATCTGATGCGGCCTTCCTCAGCCCAGCTCAACATCAATCTTTTGTTTAACTGTTTGGACTTTATGCCCCAAACTATAACTGCATTATCTCTCCTGTTTTTTCTTGTCCTTCCATAAACCCAGTTCAATCTTTTCATAACCTGCTGATTCTTGTACCTGAATCCATTTGGGCTTTATGTTTTACCTCTTAGCTCCATTGCTAGTTCGGTACTAGTTTTTCAGCTCCATCTGCCAGTTCAGTGATAGTGTTTATTTTTTAGGTAAGTTGGATTCAACTACTTTATTTTTCGTGTTTTCTATATTTCTGTTTTATTAAATAGGTTGGTACTTGACTGTTCAACTCACTGTACTTGTTGCCATTCAAGACTCAACTACTTGGCTAACTTAGCTGAGTGTATAATGGCTCCTGAATGACAAGCTTAACTTCAAGGAACCTTACTACCTTGGGAAATCTTTCATGTCTGCATGTACTTACAGCTCCATTAATTGGATAAAATATGCACTTTGAGTACTTTCTATTTTGGATATCATTGAGCTTTTACAGATGATGTAACAGTCTATGCACTGCACTTGTATGCAGAATCTGAGGATTTTGTACCAATTCCACCTGCTGTTTCAAAGGAACAACCGAAGGGCTTATGGGATGATGAAGATGTTGAGGAAGACAATGTGAAAGAGTCTTGGGAAGATGAAGATGATGCTCCCCAGGTAAGGGTCATTATTGTTGTCATTTTCACTAAGCAGGACCTTCATCAGGCTCAGGATTATGGAACTGGATTTGATTGAACAAGCACTAATGCACACTAAATATTGGACTTATATTTGCTTGTGTAGTGCATGGCATAATCTAAACTTGACTACCCTTCAGAGTACAAGACTAGTTTTAGAATGTGTTGTGAAGGGTGGATTTGCCAAATAGGTGATTGCATGTTAATAAAAACGTGTTTGTTAGGGGGGACTTAGTCATGGAGTATGGGCACATTTCAAATTATTACTAAAAAGCATTAAGTAATTTTTTTCATCTTTCGAAGGGCATAATTGGAATTTATAAGGGTATTTGTACAAATAAGGTTCAGCGATACTTTAAAAATGCCGTTGTATTAGAGTTTGAAAACCTTACTTAATGTTTAAACTACTTGTGAAAAGCAATTGTTCACAAAAATCAATAATTTTAATAGAAACAGACATCACATCCTCTTTTGGTTTTGTATTTTAAGTGGTTTCTATGTATGGGCAAACCTTATGGGATAATCGAAACTACAACTCTTCAAAGTACAATGATTAGAATGCAGTTTAAATACTGTATTTTTCAAATATGTGGTTGCTTTTTTTTAAAAAAGCTGTTTTCATAGTTAGTTTGGTGCAAGGGTTTATGTGAGTATTACTAAAAGACGTGGGTAGTTTTGTTTTCTTTATACGAACATATTTGAAATTTGCCCTAAAGGAGGGTAATTTTACTAACAAATTCTCCAGACACTTTGAAAGTACTGGTGTACTTTTATGAAGTTTCAAATATACCCCTACTTAATGATTAAGTTACTTATAGAAAGCAATTTTTTACCAGATAGTAATGACTTTTTAATGAGTAGTATTTACTAAATGCACCCATCTCAACTTATTCTAATATTCACCTTATTTCTTTATGTTACTTGTTAGTAAATAGTATTTACCACATGCTTTTGAGGGGTTGTTTTTTACCTTATTTCTTTATGTTACTTGTTAGTAAATAGTATTTACCACATGCTTTTGAGGGGTTGTTTTTTACCTTATTTCTTTATGTTACTTGTTTTTAACCCCTGTATTCTGAGGGGTTGTTAAATATAGATGAACCCTATGCACACACATATATTAAACTTATCATATGCTACATACAACTTCATGGACAGTTTTTTCCCTTTAAAATGCACTTCAATGATAGTTGAGATGAGTCATTTCCTCTACTCAAGTTTTCAATTACTTGCAAGTGAAAGAATGGTTTATTACCTGGATCCGTTGTATTTTGCTTGCAGTCACATGTCGACACACATAGAAATTCATTGACACTTGGCTGTATGTGTTTGATGACATCATCAGTTTTTTAGTACGTTTCGACATGACAGATATATAAGAGTTTGGCATTTTTTTAACACATGCTTAAAGGCTTAGGTTCTAGAGTGAAAGTTAAACCCAATGGCATTGAGAGTTCAAATCCTATCAATGAACCCTTTTTGTTTTTAAAATTCTTTTAGCTTTTCTATTATAAAAATACAACACTGTCACCAGCTGACCGAAGCAGGGCTCGAACCTCGGACCACTTGCATATGAACGAAGGTGCTACCTCAGAGTCGCTTTGATGTTATTCTTTATATTGACATTAGTTTAGATATAAGGATATCCTATTCAAAATGCAAAATTTAAGCAATGTGGTGGGGTTTGACATGGGACATCTCATGAGGGTGGCTGTTTAAACAAGGCTGCCAACTCAGCACGTCATTTTGAGAGAAACAAATTTATAGGAAGTTATATCATATGTAATAGTATTATTTAAAATATTGGTTATACGAACATTTCGGGAAGTACTGGCATTTTAGCCTTGCGTACTGGACACTCCGACTGTACTATACGAACATTTCAGGAAGTACTGGCATTTTAGCCTTGCGTACTAGACACTCCGACTCTACTAAATACAAACATGCTTGTGGGTATCCATGTAACACTGCTATATGGATCATAGTGACCTCCTTTGTTGTTCCCCGATTGCCTGAAATTGTGATCATGGTTCCGAATGCCTTATTTCCTACATAATCTCTATTACTTGTGCAACTGAGATATAAGTGGACAATCTAACCACACTACCCCTGCAGATTTCTTGAGTTATACATGTTGATCTTGCTCTTTTGAATCATGGTATACATAATTTGAAATGGTGGCTTTGCATTAACTTTGTTTTGGCATGTTTAACTAGCTAATAGTTTATCTGAATTCAGTAGCTCATGCATAGAAACTGGTATTACGTATATAGGCTTGCATGAAATTTTGTTCTGATGCCATTTACATTGCTATTGGGGAGCTCATTGATGCCTGATTAGACTCAGAAATGGTATTGCATTTAATTTGAAATTCAGCCAAAGAAGTCAGAACCTGCTACTTCAGAAAAGACTGCTCCCGAAGCTGTGCCAAAAGTGAGTGGAAAGAAAGGGAAAACTGCCAAAGTAGAGGAGGATAAAGTAGCTGCTGACCCCATAGCAGAGAAACTACGTCAACAGAGGTAAAAAGAAAACCGTGCCTGTGTCGTCTTCATTAATGGAATGTGGTGGATGTGGTTGTGTGAAACTTTTCCTTGCCAGGCTTGTGGAAGAAGCTGATTACAAATCTACAACAGAATTGTTTGCGAAGAGAGCTGATGAGAAGTCCCTCGACAATTTTATTCCCAAGACTGAGAATGACTTCTTGGAGTATGCTGAACTAATCTCCCATAAGCTTCGGCCCTACGAGGTATTTTGAGTTCTAGCATCATAATGTTGCACCCCACCGGTTTCTTCACCCCAGTACTGAGCAAACTATTTCTTCCATTCCAGAAAAGCTTTCATTACATAAACTTGCTCAAGGCCGTCATGAGGCTGTCTATGACTTCAATGAAAGCTGCTGATGCCAAAGAGGTGGCTTCTTCGGTCACTGCAATTGCGAATGAGAAACTCAAGGCAGAGAAAGAAGCCAACGCTGGGAAAAAGAAGACGGGTATTTGTTGCTTGTTGTCCTGTTATAGTGTTATTGGTTTAGCGTTACTTTACAATGAAATAGTATACAATGAGACTATTTATCTTTGGTATGAGGTGGTCACAATTAACCTTGACCATTGGATGTGAAATTAGATTGCTGCATTTATTCCATTGACTAATCTCAAACTTTAAAAGTTTTCGAATTTTGTGACTCACCCAAGCTATCAAATTTCATATCGGCTAGTTGTAAGTAATTGTGACCTCCTTGTATTAAAGGTAAATGGTCTCATTGTATACAATCTTTTTTATAATTATGGGAGTTTCATGTTGACTGAAAAGACATTTCTTTCACATGCAACAGTTAAAAAGAAACAGCTCCATGTTGATAAGCCAGACGATGATGTTGTTGGTGCTTATGATGCCTTGGATGATTATGATTTCATGTAAACTTACGGGGGTTTCTTCCTTTTTTTTTTTTTTTAAGGCTAAAACCAAGCAGAAAATATTGAAAGCCCAATGTCGTAAAAATGGGCGTTGTCTAGATGCAGATAAACGCTTCTAGAGGAGATTGCTTACGAGTGTCTTTTGAAGTTTTGCGGCATGTGGAATGAGGGTATCGAATGAGTGTTTTGAGAAATTCAGTTTGAGAACTTGATGTTGTGGTTGTTATGTTTGCACTTCCCCCTTGCAACATGTCTTCATTCTTTTGAGACCTCCGCGAGTCCTCACTTTTCGTTTCGTTTCGTTTATTTATATCCTTGCTTTGCTTTGCTCTGCTCTAAGCACTGATACATTGACACCAGTATGGGTATTGTATCTAGCACATGTTTCGTGTTTAGTAATGCAGCCCAAGTATCCAGTATAAAAAGTAATAAATTAATTTTTTTTAAATAACAATTTAGAAGTTAAAAAATATAAATTTATTATGAGAAATGATCTTATAGGACTTTTTTCTGCGAATGTGTGTAGGACTCTAAAGGATCACTATAGAATTAGATACGGATTTATAGAAAAATCAAGTCTCACACTAAATTTTTTAGAGTGTTAATTTTAATGGTGATTTTTTGGGGTTCTACATACAGGTAAGGAGGGTTGTACTTATTCATTATTTATAAACAAATTAAATATATACTATTATTTTGAACACTTTCTACAATCATGTTGGTGGAACCATTTATAATTTACACATCTGTTATGGTGTAAGTTTGAATCTTGCATGACGTTATTCAAAACTATTTTTTTCTTTTTTAATATTGTTCAGAAAAACAAAGTTATATAAAAAATTCAAAAAGGGAAAAAAATCCCTCAAAAACCTAAATCAAAATCTAAACAAAATGTAAAGCCTAGATTAATTTGGCTAAAAAAACACTTTTTTGGTGTGTTCTCTAATTTTTTCTTTTGAGATTGTTCATTGGAATAAATAGAATATATTTAAAAATAGGTGTGGTTTCTATAAGGTTGCAACTTTGAACAATCCAATAAAGGCGCACCTTCAAATTTTATTATAACATGTAATTTTGGTGTAAAAAATTTTAAGGATTATTTTAATATTTATTTTTATATCTAATTATAAAACTATAAACTACAAAAATGTTAAAATTAAGTAGATTTATAAACATATGAAAATTTTGAAAATAAATGGTCCAGATAATGTGTTGTAAGATGAACTATTTTTGAAACTCAAATTTTTTTCCTTTTTTTTGTCATATCTTTGATTCTACATTTAAAGTTGCACCCTATATAAACATTTTCCTTTAAAAAATTGAGGTC